ATTTTGCGTCATAAAAAAGATTTTGATATACAATAAGAAGAATATCGTTGTTTGTGTTCCGTTTGTTTAAAGTTTATAATATTTAAAATATCACGATGTGTTGATAAATAAGAAAATAACAATTTATGAATATATTATCTCTCTCAGTTTTGCATTAATATCTACCAATTATCTCGAAAAATTTGTATTTAATTTTAAAAATGTTCAAAATAAAAAATATTTCTTTTTACTTCTATTTTCGCATAAAACATTAAAAAATGGGGTTTTTATTTAACAAATAAAATTGACTATTATTTGACCTGTAGTTGCACCATCTATAATGAAACTAAAAGTTTCCTCTTTAATATCAGACAAATCTTGTTTAATACATTTTACATTGAATATAGTTAAGCTCTGTAAAAATTTTTCGTTTAATGTGCTTTGTAAAACGAGAAACACAGACTTTACACCTCAATAATATTTTTTAAAACATAAAAATGGATCAAAATTTTTATTAAATTTTTAAATTGCAAAAATGAAAATAATAAAATAAAAATAATATTTTTTAGTAGTAATGTAACAATACTTTTAACACTTAATGTAATATAATAATATTTAATGTTATAATACTTTTTATAAAATATTCAGACAGAAGTGTTCAATCATACTATTTTTTCTATGGTATCTTAGCATATTTTTAATCGACTTCAAAAAGAAGGTTCTCAATTCAACGAGTATGATGTACGTGGGTATGTTCACGATTTTTTCTGAAACTACTGGACGGATGCGGTTTTCACTGTCCTATAGATCAATCTGATCAATCCTCCAGGAAAGTTTTAGTACATAAAATATCGCGTTATAACATCACGGTACGGAGCATTAAGAAAATATACATACTTAATAATTACAAGCAAACAATAAATTATTATTTTTGATTCGTATTAATTGAATAACGCACTAAAAAAGTATTAAAAAAAAATAAAGAAGCTTTAAAAGATATGAAATAATACTTTTAAGAATTCCTTTCAGTTTTTTTAAGTCAGTGCAAAATTAATATTTTTAAGTATTTTTTTCAATTTTTTGAAGTCGGTGCCCAATTAATAATTGTTAGAATGTCAGATCTACGTGTGCTCGTGCCTATTAGGTCCTAGTTACTATCGATGTAGTTTAGTAACGCTAGAGAGAGGGCTAGTTTCTTTTTCGAGTTTACTATCTAATGTATAATGTACTACTCTATGTTCTTTTTCCTTCCTTCTTCCGGTAGCTTCCGCGTGTCCACGTTAGCTTTGTTTAAGCTACTTTATTTTATATATATACCCTGCATAAAAACGTTTTATTCAAAAATATTGTTTCGCATTCGCGAGATTTTGTCATGAATTCTGCTTTGCAACAATTTCGGATTGGATCACGGGTCAATACTTTTCAGTGCGATACTGTGAATAGAACGTGAAAATCTTGTATGCCTCTGAATCCAAAAACAATTAGTAGAAGAAGTGAATCCTTTTTAATGCGAGAATTCGCATTTGTTTGAAGGTTATCGATTGCGATTGAATGCGAGGAATATTTTAAGCTAAGTGAATTCTTGCGAACCAATACTTTTCAATCCCTTTCTTCGCATCAGAAAGCAAAATTTAAATTAATTCTTTTCAATCCGACATTTTATGCAGGGTAACCCGGACAGTGCCAAATAAATACTAATCGTCAAGTACTCTACACTATTGTCGTTTACGCCTTTTAACCAACCACTTCTAACAATAATAATTACTAAAAATAATAATTACTAAATTAATTTGACGTCAACTTTAAAAAATTAAAAGAAATACTTAAAAATATTATTAATTTGGCGCCGACTTAAAAAAATTAAAAAGAATTCTTAAAAGTATTATTTCATACTTTTGAAAGCTTTTTTTTTTTTTTTTTTTTTAAGAGCTTTTTTGAGAGCTTTTTTAAAAAGTCGGTTCTATTTTTTTTTAATTTGTACACTGACTCATCAACGTAATAAGAAAAAGCATATATGTTTCTTTAAATTTTTAAACAATAAATGATATAACTAATCCTATAAATCATGATCGCATCAATGATGAAGATGGCTACAGCGTGTCTTATGTAATATATGATTCTTTCATTTTTTATGATTAAGGTATCATAAAGTTAAAAAAAATAGAAGGAAGAAGAAATAAAAAAAAGAGAGCCAAGAGACAGAAGAAAGAAAAGAGAGGAAGAGGAAGAGAAAAAGAAAGAGAGAGAAAGAGGGAGAAAGAGGGGGAAAAGAGAGGGGGGGGAAAGAGGTAGGGAGAGAGGGAAGGTGGGAGAGAGGGAGGGAGAGAGAGAGAGAAAGAGGGATGGAGAAATAGAGGGAGGCAGAAGGAGGAAGGGTGGAAAGGAAGGAATAAGGGAGAAAGGGAGGGAAAGAGAAGGAAGGGAGAAAGGGTGTTAGAGAGGAAGAGAGGGAGGGAAGAAGAGAGAGGGACAGAGGGGGAGAGGAAAAGCGAGAATTAGTGAGAATAAGAAAAAATGGCTGTAAAATGCGAAACAAAACAGAATTAGAACGACAGGATATGAATTTAAGAGAATGGATGAGGATAAAATTGAATAATAGGATATGAACAAAAATCAGAGAGAATCAGAAAAGATAAAAAAAAATAAGAGAAATAAAGAGAAGACAATGAGCAAAAATGAAGCATTATGAATAAGAACAAGTAAGAATAAAGAAGAATGAGAGAAGATAAAGCAGTAAAATGCAATAAAATTAAAAAAATGATGCAGAATAAATGAGAATGAAGAAAACTATATGAAGATAACAGAATGAGACTACATGAAGATAGTGGTGAAAGAACGTCACTGAAAGTGAATCAAACAAAGGCTACGTTTACACCCTGAAATTAGGCCGCGGCCTGTACCTCAAATTCGACCTAAATTATTTAGCCCGCCTGCTGTAAACAGTTGATAGACGACCGGACCTGGCTTCAGATCAGGTCGCGTATTTTAGTGACCCGACCTGAAATCGGCCGTTATCATTTGCGATGTAAACGCACGATCAAGCGCGACGCGTCCTAAAAGCTTCATTTGCTTGTTTGGATTCGCTGCAATTCAGGGCGATCCCAAATACGATCCCGTCAATTTTTATCCGGATCATTAAAATAAAGTTGTCTTGAATTTTGCGAGAATCAATGAAAAAATTACCAATTTTTGCTTAAAAAATGTGTAAGTTATTTGATGGATAGAATATCATTTAAGGGAGGTATTGAATTTGGCGAGGATCGATGAAGGAGTTACCGATTTCTGCTCAAAAAAGTTACATGTATAAGTTATACATGTAATTTTATATAGAGTATCATTAAAAGAAGGTTGGTATTGAATTTGGCGATAATCGGTAAAAAGGTTTTCCTTATAAAATTTTGAATTTTTTGAGAAATGTCCGTGGTTGCTCTAACTTCCGCCAATTTTAAGATATCAGGTTATTTATAATTCTATTAGATTCTTCAGTCCTTTCTATCCCTATTTCATATATAATTCTTTAAGATTTGATTGATTAGACCCAGCTTTATACGCGATTAAAAATCCATGTGCGAATTCCATATTGGACCATGTAGCCTGAACTCCCAAAGTCAACATCGATTTGACATTGTGTCGATTGTAAAACCCCACTTGTGCTACTAAGCTCTATCAATTCATAAAAAGATTAAATAAAATTAAAAATTGTGCAAATTAGGAACTTGCACATTGCTTCCTCATCATTACAGATCGCTACCATTGCTCCTATTTTATTTCGCTCATAAAACTTTCTCTATGAGGAAGCCAAAACAAATAAATACTAATAATTATGCACCGAATAAAATACAAGCTTCCTCATAGAGCTTTGTGAGCGAAATAAAATAGAAGCAATGGTAGTGATCTGTAATAATGAGGAAACAACGTGCAAGTTTCTAATTTGCACACTTTTTATATTTTGTGTATTTTGCGTCATAAAAAAATTTTTGAGAAGGAATATCGTTGTTCATGTTCCGTTTGTTTACAGTTTATAATATTTATAATATTACGATGTGTCGATAAGTAAAAAAATAATTTATAAATACATTATCTCTCTCAGTTTTGTATTAATATCTACCGATTATCTCAAAAAATTTGTATTTAATTTTAAAAATGTTCAAAATAAAAAATATTTCATTTTACTTCTATTTTCGCGTAAAACGTTAAAAAATGGGGTTTCCATTTAAAAAATAAAAATGACTTATTTGACCTGTAGTTGCACCATCTATAGTGAAACTAAAAGTTTCCTCTTTGATATCAAACAAATCTTGTTTAAGGGGATCCTGCAGCCGTATGATTTACCGACATTATCGTTAATCAATGGATCTTTTAATTGGCTTTACAGAATTGCAAGTTTTTGGTCTAGAATTAAAGTCCGCACAAAAATCTAGGGTGGAAAACGCGATTTTATATCAAAAGCACTAAAAAATTAAAAATATTACTTATTGGGGCACATACACAGCTGTCACCTGACGACAATATTTGCTTAAAACAAAAATTCTACAGTTTATACGTACATAATGTTTATCATCCACCCTTGGGAAAACATGTAGGAATAATATCGTGTAAGTAGAAGTAAGATTTAATGCGTACAAAAACAAGATCCATCTAATAATTATTTTAGTAATGCAAATACGGATGCAGGATGACAAGAAGAGCAGCAACAGTAGTTGCCGGATCTTGCGTAAGATGGCGAGCAATCGAAAAAAGGACAGATGTCATTTCGTTAGACAAAGACAGATATAAGGAAAACAAAATTAGAAAGGTTGACATTATCGACATCGAGGAAGTTCGCCAGTCACTGCAGGATCCCCTTAATATATTTTACATTAAATATAGTTAATGAGGTGCCACATGGGCGATTAAAGTAAGATTAGGTTAGGTTAGGTTAAGTGTAATTTCGTGCGGATATTTACTATATAAATTATATATACTATATATATTATATTTTATATATGTTGTATATATCATATAGAATCAATTTTATTAGTTGATAAGTGCTGTAAAAATTGCTCATAAGATTTTTTTTATTTCCAAAAGTTGGGACCACACGAACTTTATTCCTCACATCGAAAACAACTTAAGTGTAAAACAACTTAAGTGTAAAACTCTAGGTCGATCGGAAGCAGGGGTCATTCGGAACTATATCCATATATAATAAAGTTCTTATTCCGATAAAAGCTGCAAATATTTGAATTAAATTTAAACAAGATAATTTTTAAACTAACATACATTATGATTAATGCCATCACTAACAATCTTTCTCCTGTAATTTTATAATTATTGAAATATTCAATATTAATAGAATCACAGAAGTTGGAATATATGCACATGTATTATTAATAATACATATATACGGAAAATTAATATTGAACTGCCTAAGATCTATGCTTAGACCGAAAACGGCTTGTATTTAATAGAATCATATTTTTGTTTGTTAAAAAATTTATCTTAGATTTTATTTAACCAACAAAAAAATAAATCTGAAAAAAATTAATCAATATTCGAATATTGTTCAATTGTGCTTGTTGAAATGCACAATTTATAATACTCATACTTTAAATACTCTAATATTTGCAGTGTTACTATACATACATATATATATACACAAGGGTAGTCTGAAAAGTTTTGAGCCTAACATCGACTTGAAAGGAGACTATGTTAAAAAATTTGACCAGACCGAAAAAAACTTGTTTGAGGCTCAAAACTTTTCAGACTACCCATGTATAGTTTAAATACATATTTTTTACATTACTCACTTTTCCAATCCCGAAATACGTCACAAGTGCAAGACATGGTGCCGCAAGAGAAAAAATTAATAAATGTCTGCTTATCCTCTTTTTATCTACACCTTCATGAAGAAGAAATGACACAAGTCCAAATGCAGCTGGTGCCTAAAAAAGGCACCATAATTAAATTTTTTAATAACACAAAGAACATAGAAATGATGCAATTACATTAATATTACATTTGCTATTAAGGCTCCTAGATACTCGCCGTGGTTATATTGGAATCCCACTGTCAGAAGCAAGAAATGACACATACAGGCTTATATTCAGGCGCATGACTAGGCTTTGTATTACATTCATTTTACGACTGTTTATTAACTGTCAAAGAAAAGGGACAGATCTCGGAATATTTTTGAAGTGTGTTGAAGTAATCTAAAGTGTTATTTTACACAAATATCTTTTTATTTGGAAATTGCATACAAGAATTTTCAGCATGTCATTTCTCGCTTCTGATGTCACGACCTTACATGACTGTAACAAGAGCCCAGGAGCCTTAAGCTCTTGTTAATCAATTGTTAAAACTGTTGATGATCAGAAACTTTACTTTGTGCAACATTATTGCCAAAAAAACTATCACTTCAACATCAGCTTGGGATGTAGTAGCAGCAGCTCCTAATGCAACTCCATCAACTGCTGCATGTACTACAAGACCTAAAGTTGCTGTAACACTTTTTTGTCTTCCATCACTTTTTCTTGCTGAACATTGATCAATCAGAAGCATAAATACAAAACCAAGTACTAAACTAATTCCAATTAAAGAATGTAAATCACCTGTAACATAGCAGTATCAATTAAAGATATTGATTTTAGAAAATACATAAATTATAACAAATATAAAATTATATACCATGTAACTCTTTTCCATTAGTAATTTCACCAGTAAATAAAGCTCTTATACCTTCAGGTATAATGACTGCTAATGCAGTTCCAACAAGAAGACCTGCTCCTAATACCGACACCAATTGTAATTTGTCCTAGAAAAAACAAATACTGTATACAGTATAGCGTGCTTTGATACATTCAGAATATTTCATATAAAAAATATTTTTCATCTTATTATAAAAAATTATCTTACTTCCGACAAACTCATGACTAATGGTAAAGATCCAGCCAGGCAAGAGCCAACCAGCATAACAAGAGTAAGCATCCATAACATTGCTACCTCTTCCATTATTTTCTCTTAATAATGAAAGGAACTATTAATTTCCAATATTACATTATCAATTAATAAAATACACATGTAAAAACAAGATTGGTTAACTGCATGTTAATCGTAAATTATAAACTTTCTCTTTACACTGATCTATCTCACTTATATATCATATATATATATATATCGCAATTTTACAAACAGATAAAAGTATATGTACATAAAACAACAACAATTCTTCACTTTATTGGCTCCTGCCGCCTAACAGCGGACAATACGGAAAACAACATCAATGACTGATGCACGTGAACATACAGATTGCTAAATTCATTACCTAGAATACCTAGATAGTAAACATTATGGAAGTTCGGCCCAGTATATTGGGTGCTTTCCAGTTAACGACGCAAGTCGACAAGCATGCGGGGAACACATACTTTTGCATAACGCATAAAGGTGCTGTCACATGGCAGTCAGAAA